TCCTTTTGGCTTTTCAGAAGGCCTTGAAGACCTGGCTTTATGCCCGGGGCCCCAAGTGTACGAAGCGCCCTGTTTCATGGTTGTGTTGACACTGATGGTTTTTTAAAATCTCTTGGCTGTATTTATATTTAATTTTCTGTATTGTTTTAAGTGCTTGATTGTTTTGATGACTGTAGCCGCCCAGAGTCACTGTTTTGAGATGGGCGGCTATATAAATGGAATGTATGAATGAATGAATATGATCAATTGTAGAATCAGAGACATCAAGCATGAGCACAAACTATGCACAAAACTTTGTTATGTGACCTTCAATGTCTCCCCTGATTCTGTGATCCTATCCAACTTCATGTCTTAGTTTGGGAATCTAAGGATAGATAACACTGTGGCCATGTACTTGCATTAAAGAACTACTGCAGGGTTTGTGCAGAATTTTTCTTATCCCTTCATTAAAGTCATTATTAAAAAGTACTAAGGCTAGGTATTTACAGCAGCATCAGATTTAAAATTATTGTTAAAGAAAAATAGATGACCATTTTATAGTCTATAATATAATCTTTTCAATCACCTGTGACTCCACCAGAGTGTATTATCCTCTAGTCTGCTGTAACCAATTTCCTAACCAAATTATGAGAGACCATGAAAAATATCATACTGATATCACAGCATTTCATTAAACTCTGGATTGTAGCTATTTTTTTAAAAAATGAGATTAGTTTGAGAACCATTATTCATAACAAATCCATTCTAATTTGTACTGGTTTGTTAATATTCACATGCTTTCAACTAATTGTTTTATAATTTAATTTAGTACCTCAAGTCTGAAACATAATGCAGTTACATTTAAAATAATAGGAAATTGGACATTTCACTTCAACGTAATCATGAAGCTACTTTTTAAATAATTAGAGGGAAATTAATCAAAGCAACTAACAACTGTAAACATATTTAAGTACATCTAAAGAAACAACAATATGAATTCATGATGTCATTTAAAGTTTTGATTTTTATATTTCCCAAAACATCAGTTATTGTGATGTGACAACCATAAATTCACCAACTGACTAATCAAAGGGTGTGACAAGTAGAAATTGTCCTATCCCCCAAGCATAAAAATCAAGTTTGTTCTGTAACATGTTGGAAGTGTCTATTAATGTCCATGTGGACATGGCTTAATACAGCCTACATAAAATGCCTCTGACCATTTAACAGTTATGTTGTTTATAAGCTACTGTTCAGTGGAAGACCTCCCAGTTCTCGTTCTTGATTGCCAATCAGCAACAGTAACCAATGGCTATCTACAGAACCCCTTGAGCAGGACAATTCTAAAAGCTGCTCACCTCTTACAATGGTGTTTCCTTCTTGTAGCTGAAGCTTGGGTCATTTCCCTCAATTTGAAGTTTTAAGGCTTGTTTAAGGCTAAACTCTGTTTCTGCAGAAGGATAGCCTTCCAAAACCTCCTGATGCCCTCGATCCTGGACTGTTCGTGGTACAGACACTCTACCAAGAAAAACCTGATTGCTCTGAAGATGATAATTTGGATTTGTCATTATTCCATTTCTCTTTTTTTGCTCTCCACTTTGTTGGTGGATCAGGAACTGCTGTTGGGACCGGCAAACTTCTTGCTGAGCTGAAGGGATTAAAAGTTTGCAGTGTGTGTCAGTAGAAATATTTTTAAGAGGCACAGTAGCTCCGCATTTGGCCACAGGTATCTGTTTATCAAACTGAGTCATTTCATATTCTAAAACTTTTGGTTGTGAAGAAGTGGTTTGTTTTACTTTTTTCCCAGCAGACCCGGATTTGTTGGAGTTCTCCGTTTTCCCTGTTTTGCTTGGTTTTGTTGATTTTAGGTTGGGTTTCACTTGGCTCCATTCAAATTCACTATTTGGTGAACTATGATTCTGGCTTAAAGAGTGAGTAGTAGAAGAAGGTGAAACAATGGACTGCCTACTTCTACTGCGGGGTAATGAATGGTGCTGTATTTGTTCTGTAAAGGACATATTGTGGAAACTATCAATAGGTACTGTTTGGGCAGTTGCTGTAGATGAAGTTGTGCGAAGAGAAGAATTTTTTGAGCTTTTCAGTGAATTATTAGATAAAGAGGACTTCTGCCGGTCAACTGTTGAATCAGGGGATTCAGAAGGAGAACTAAAAGCATGAGATGGCCCATTTGACAAACCACGCAAAGCAGCTTGTACATCACCACCACCAGTGCTCCCTGAACTGTTTGATTTTATAGTTAAGGATTGAATTTTTGAAGGTACTGATTGCAAAGGTTTTTGCTCCATTGTATGGATTGGAGAAGGAGTGCATCCATTTAAACTAGAAGCACCATACTTTTCCAGTAGTTTAATTATTGGTGTGTGCCCATTCTTTGCAGCAACACGCATAGCTGTGCGCCCAAACTGATCTGCATGATTTGGATCAGCACTATTTTCCAGTAATATCTGCACAACATCAATGTGTCCTTCTTGGGCTGCAATGCAGAGTGCAGTAGCACCTTGATTGCATGTATGATCAACCAAGGACCCATGCTCAATCAAAAGCTGAACTACTTTGACATGACCCTGCCATGCAGCAGACTGTAAAGCTGAGCGTTTCTCATTGTCTGCTGCATTTACATCAGCATGGTATGTTATCAGCATCTGTACCATCTCCACATGGCCCTGCCAGCAGGAAACATGGAGTGCTGTCCTTCCTTCAGCATCACTTGCTTCTACATTTGCACCATTTTCTAAAAAGTACTCAGCCATTGATAGCTGGTTCTCTAAGGCCAGGATGTAAAGTGTTGGCCGGCCATCAGCATCTTTATAGTTCACATCAGCTCCATGGCTGAAAAGTAGTTCAACTATATCTCTGTGCCCTTCTAAAGCAGCAACACGGAGTGCATTTCTCCCATCATAACCTCTATGATCAATATTAGATTTATTTTCCAGTAAAGTTTGCACACAGTCATAGTGACCCTCCTGGGCAGCTAATATGAATGGTATACGTCCATCATTATCAATTTCATTAGTTCGAGCACCTTGTTCTATAAGTGCTTCACATATTAATCTGTGACCTTCAAAAGCAGCCATGTGCAAAGGTGTCCATCCTGCATCATCCCTATGGTTTTCATCTAATCCTCTATCTAGCAGAGTCCGTACTACTTCAACATTACCTTGAGCAGATGCTATACTAAGAACTGTCCGTCCTTCACTATCGATGCTATCCACAGCTGCTCCCCAAAACAATAAAGTATTCACAACTGAAGCATGCCCCATTGAAGCTGCAGCAAGAAGAGGAGTGCGACCATTGTTGTCAGTATGATCTACATCTGCTCCACCTTCCAGAAGCAAATCAACAACATCTACATGCCCTTCATAGGCTGCTACTAGCAGTGGAGTCATCCCATCTTTGTCACAATGATCCACTTCAGCTCCCCTGTCAATTAAAAGGCTCACAACTGAAGCATGTCCCTTACTAGCAGGAACACAAAGAGCAGCAACAGAGAGAGCAGTCCTTCCATCCACATCCTCATGATTTACCTCTGCACCATGGTCTAGAAGATGCTCTACAATTTCTTTATGTCCCATGTATGCTGCAGCAATTAGAGCAGTTCTACCTTCATTATCTGCTTTGTTCACCTCGGCCCCATGTTGCAATAGATTCAGCACAATATCTTCATGTCCTCCCCAGGCTGCTGCTCTCAAAGCTGTTCGACTGTCAGCGTCTGCACAGTCCACTTTTACACCAGCATATAGAAGTGCAGAAACAACCTCAGTATGTCCACCCCAAGCTGCAGATCTCAATGCTGTCCACCCATCATGGTCAGTATGATTTATGTTAGCACCACATCCAATCAAACAATTTACAACTTTGGTGTGTCCTTGCCGAGCAGCTAAAGTAAGTGCTGTCTGCCCAAGAGCATCTTCAATCTCTAAATCTGCTCCTCTAGAAACTAACAAATTCACTACATCAAGATTGCCACTATAGGCAGCATTCGCCAGCAGTGTTCTCCCATTTGAATCACATTGATTTATTGAAGCGCCATTATCTAATAAAGTTCGAATGGAATCCTCTCTTTCTAATGCTTGTCGCACAATGCAAGATGTCCGATCATCTTCACTATTAACATGAGCACCAGCTTTTACTAGCAATTGTAAAACTTCCTGTTCTTTGGGGATCAATGTCAACAAAGAATCTTTGACAGGAGTACCATTCCAGATCATCCATAAAGCTAACTCAGATGTTTCCAGTTGTAAATTTGAATCTATTAGATGCAAAGCAAATTCTTGTGCTTCCAATGGTGCTAAATCCTTGGCTCGACATGTGTAGCTCATTGCTAGCATTCGGTGTCCCTCTGCTGCATTGCATAAATATTTTTGAGTACAATGCTTTACATCCAACAGCCATTCTGCAAAACTATAATGAAAAAGGATCTTTGTGTTTCCAAGACCATCAACGAGAACTTTTGATAGAACGTCTAGCTTGCGCTGGAAATCCTCCATAGACAATGCCATATTTTTGGTCCACACTGCATGGAACAATTCAGTTGTGGTCAGTGGTCTGCAAGCAGCAAGGATTACATTCAGAATAGGTTGGACTTTTGCAAACTGTTTTCTCACAAAAAGTCTCTGACAAAGCCAAAGATAGAGTCCATTTAGTGTTCCAGGGATATCACGAATTTCTCTTAACATAATGAAATTTTCTACTACACCATCTAGGACACGCTCAAGATACAAAAAGCAACCACTGCTTTTAATGTGAAGCTGATTCAACATTTCTGCAGTTTCTTTTGTGAGATGTTGTCTCAGAGCTTCTTCTTGATCCAAGCGATGAAGAATATACTGCTGGACATCTTTCACAATATAGGCCTTTCTGAGGTCATCAAGGCTTATTTTTCGAAAGCCTAGACAAAAATAAAGGAAGCAAAAAAGTAAGAATTTCGTAAGTTTAATTTCAAGCAATTTTTACTTGTTCTATGTTAGAAATGTTCAACTTACTTATATGCTACAGTAGTTCAGATGTATGTAACTGTACCTAATATTTCATGAACTACTTGATTGCACAAGTGAAAGTTTTCTTTTAACACAGGATATGTTTCTTGTTTGTTTTTAAACCTAGAATTTCAATACTTTATACTTACAATCTCTGAATTTGGGATACCACAACTAACTCAGAATCTGAGTTAGATTAATAATCTAAACATGTCTAATAATCTAAACTGTTAGTCTAATAATCTAAACTGTCTTTTCTCTAATCAAACAAGTCAGTTTGGCCATTTCAGTGAGTTTTGTCATCAACCAACCATTCCTCTGTCGTAGGTATTGCCAAATTTTTCCATCTTTGTGTAGATGATAATCTCGCTGCAGTTATCATATATATAAAAAATGTTCCATGGCTTTTTTTCAACTGCTCATCCCAAGAGGAAAAGTTCTGGTTTCAGTTGAACATTAATCTTTAAAATCCTCTGAATCACTGTATGTATTTGAACCCATAATTTTCTAGCTTTTTTGCATGTCCACCGAGCATGATAAAATGACCCTTCTTGTTCACATTTCCAACATAAATTTGAAGTACCTTTATATGTTCTAGATAATTTTCCTGGTGTCAAATACCAGTGGTACATCATTTTATAAAAATTGTCTTTAAGATTATAACATAGTGTAAATTTTAGTCCTTTCAACCACATTTTCCCATAGTTCCATTTGTATATTATAATGAAATACTTTAGCCCACTTAATCATACATTCCTATTTCAAATTTCAATAAAAGTTTATACATTTTAGTAAGTACATGTTCATCATTTGTACACAATTCTGTTTCAGAATCAGTCTTACAATGTTCAGTACCATACATTCTTTTATCTACTTTAAATTTTTTTGATAACTGTAAATAAGAAAACCATTGACAGTTATGTCCCTCTGACATCAATTGTTCTCTTGATTTTATTTTAGATTCTCCTTGTATCCCACAATATGCTGTTTGTGTTTGCCTATTATTTCTCGTCTATGGAATGTTTCTTGTGCTGAGAGCCACAAAGGTGTTTTTGGGCACAGCCTGGATTTGTATCTATTTCATATTCTCAACATGGCACATCTAACATAATGACTTTTGAAATCTACATTAACTTTTATTTTATTGTACCATAATTATCCATGCCACCCAAATCTCAAGTCATGTTCTTCTAACTCTAAAAGTCTTCTATTTCTCAGCAACATTATTGTACCATAATTATCCATGCCACCCAAATCTCAAGTCATGTTCTTCTAACTCTAAAAGTCTTCTATTTCTCAGCAACATTATTGTACCATAATTATCCATGCCACCCAAATCTCAAGTCATGTTCTTCTAACTCTAAAAGTCTTCTATTTCTCAGCAACACCCACTCTTTCATCCAAACCAAACAATAAGCTGCAAAATACAATTTCAAATCAGGTAAACCCAATTCTCCTTTTCTTTTGCATCCAGCAACACTCATGGTTTTTTCCCTTGCATACAAACTTAGATATACATTTTGCCACTGTTTAAATGGTATATCAGTTACCAAAACGAGTATTGTCTGAAACAAAAAAAAATCATTCTAGGCAAGATATTCATCTTCATTACAGAAATTCTCCCAGCAATGACAATTGTAGTTTCTCCCATCTTTACATATCTTTTTAAACTTCATTCCGTGTCTTAACATAATTATTTTGAAATAACATACAATTCATATCTGTCATGGGGATACCCAGATATTTTACTTTGCTTTTCAATCTTAAAACCCATTTTCTTCATCAATTCTGCTTGATCCTCTATTTTCAAGTTTTTTGTTACATCTTCATATTTGATTATTAACGTTAAAGCCTGCTAGTGCACCAAATTCTTTTAATTTGCCCATTAATGTTTCTATTCTTTAGTGGATCCTCCAAAACCAACACCAAGTCATCAGCAAATGCCTTTAACTTATATGTTTCTTTTTAAATCTTTAATCCCACATTTCTCTCATCTAGTTTTATATCTCTATTCAATATTTCAAGAACTAAAATAAACAGGAGGGGAGACGAGTTTCCCTGTCTTGTCCTTTTTTGTATCTCACAGAGTTTTGTTAAATCTCTATTGACAATTATTTGTGCTTTCTGTGAAGTATCTTACCCATTTAATAAAATTCTCTCCAACATCCACAACCCTTGGAAATATTATTGTGATTTGGCACTGCTTCTAGAGCCACTTCTTTCAAACTCAGAACACAGTCTGCACATATTTTTTGTGTAACCAGTTTCTAAATGAAAGGGAGAAAAGATTTGAGATATCTATCTGTCCATCCATCCTGAGGTTATTAATGGTAATTAAGATCCAAATTATTCTAGATTAAATGCATCCAGGCCAACTTAAATTATGCATTCTAGTATCTAATTGCCATAAATCCAAGTTCTGAATTACATGTATTTGCAACATGTTAGATCAAAATATAGTGTTTTTTTAAAGCTAGAATGGGAAGAGAAAATTAATACAGAATATTCAATTTCTATGGTATTGAAGTAATGCTAGTGACACAATTTTTTAATTTTGTTATAACTGTTGTGCGCAATGTACTAGAATGTAAAGTATTCCATTATTAACGACATTCAAACACGAAGCTATGTGGATTCACTGGTTATACAGGGGCAATTAAAATTTTAGCTAGAATTTTGGAATAATCAGATTTACCTATCCAGTGCCAGTAACTCCGATAAACACTAGCTGTTTATGAATATTATTCTCACATTGTGGCCTCATCTGAGGGAGTTTTTCAAGGTGTATATTGTTACAGAGAACCTTGGGCATGCTGGTTGTTTGGACATGTTTAGTTGTATCTTGCATTTTCTTGTTGATATTTCTTTGACTCTTTGGTTGAATAGGTATTTCCATTCCAGAAAGACAAAAACTAGAAGAACCAGAGACTTGGGGAGAGATGAGGAATCAGAACAATACCATGGAGTAATGCAGTAGGATCAGAGTCTAATTTTGTGCAACTCCTCTATTCATTGACTTGAACTGAACACACACACACACACACACACACACACACTTCCATTAATCAACTCAAAAGAAGCTGCTGCTACA